GTTAATCCGGCTCTGGTGACACCCAAGTCTCCAAGAAAAGGCCAGCAAGTGAGGTTCTAGATCCACACCTCCTAATTTGTGTGACACAACAGATGCACCTCCTCCTGAAATGTCACATCACACACACAGGGCAGGCAGCTATCCTGAGATATGGCACCGCTGAGGGTGAGAGAGCGTGACACTGGTATGCTAATCAGGCTTCCAGTGCCCTCCTCAGGCAGGATGCTGATGGGATCAGTGTCTGTTCAGCATCTCTATCCAGAGGAAAAGATAAAAGGATTTACACCTTGCACAACTCATCCTGGAGCTCCTTACCTCTCCAAAGGCAAGAGCACAATGCTGTTTGGTCATTCAGATACAGACTTAACTGCTTATCTATTTATAGTATTTACATACTTATTTATAAATAAATATGCAGATTATTGAGACATAAGACAACTTTGCCTGACATTAATATATATATATATATATATTATATAGTCTTTCACTAGAATGTTCTTAAAGGGATCCTGTGCCTTTTTTTTGTTTTGTTACATTTTTAACTTTCTTAAGTGTGTAATGTTGCAAAGTTACAAATCACAAAGTCCACTCCAATGGGAGTTATTCTCTATATCAGTGCGCACTGTTTCTGAACTCCCTGAAACGCCTCGATTGTAGTCTTGAGTTCTCTTCCGGGAAAGTACACGACACAAAATTTCCAACCCAGGCAAATGCAAAGGCAAATGCAAAATATTGCAGATATGCTCACTGAATATAAACCTAACAGATCAGTCAGATCATTAGGATCACATCAGCTAGAAATACCAAGGGTTCGCTCTAAGCATGGAGAGTCTGCTTTTAGCTACTATGCCAGCCGCAGCTGGAACCAGCTTCCAGAAGAGATCAGATGTGCTCCTACAGTAGTCACTTTCAAATCCAGACTCAAAACACATCTGTTCAGCTATGCATTTACTGAATGAGCACTGTGCCACTGTCCGTCCGACTGTTTTTACTGTACTGGTTTTGTCTTTGTTTGTTTTCTAATTTCTAATTTATTTATTTTTATAATCTCTGGAAGAGATTTTGAAGGAGAGCAGGAGAGTCTTCACTCCGATGAGGCGAGTGAAGGAGTAAGTTATACTGCTGTATAAGAAGTCGCTGAGAGCGTCGTTAAGGGTAACGGCAGCAGACAGCGCACACGAAGCGTGCTCTGTGGGGGCCCCGCTGGGCATTACTGGTGTAGCACCGCCCCAGCAGAGTACGTCCCTGGGCTAGAGGTCCAGTTGCACCGTAAACCGGCTCAATCTCTTCCATCTCAGATAGGGGTGGACCAGTACTACTTTATTTGATTTTTTATTCTAAACTGTTTTAATTATTCTTACTTGTTTTGATTATTTTAATTTCTTCTATGTAAAGCACTTTGAATTGCCACTGTGTATGAAATGTGCTATATAAATAAACGTGCCTTGCCTTGCCAAAAAAAAAGAGGCCTGGTTGCATTGCGTAAGTAGAAACTTGAAATTAGTGAAACTCGTGATTAGGGTAAGGGGCGTGACATTTCCGAAACACGCTCGAAGCGGTTGACCAATCACAACAAACTGGTCTAGCCGACGAATCGGAAGGAGGGACTTCATAGAGACAGGAACTAAACAGAGCGTTACTGACAGACTGGGAAAAGAGGTGCTGAAATAATGTACAGTATATATATACATATATATATACACCGGTATATATATACATATATATATACACCGGTATATATACATATATAATTAATAAATTAAATAATATACCTCTAATTTAAATTATAATGCTAAAACTATCAATAACTATTAAATCAATAAATAATAACTAAAAATAAATAATTACAATTATTAGTTATTCACTACCAAACAGTTATTGAAAATTGCGGAATCACAAAATAATCATGCTTCATGGTACTTAATTTTGAAAGTTAACGCTGTGCTTTACTGGGAGTCTACGAGAATAGCAGGAGAGCTATTTGCATTGGTAAAAGAAAATATTAAATCTTCAAATACAGTGCTACAACCTTTCAATCACTATATTTTTGACACACCTGGAATTCATTTATTTTGTTTGCTACATATTTCCTTTTGCAAATATTGTGAAAACACAGTTTAGACCTTGGTCAATAATTTACAGCCATGTCCCTGCGTTTTATCCGATATTTGTTTTATCCGGCAAAATCAAAGTCAGCCTTCAGCTTGAACATCCTCTTTATATAATTCACCTGGTATTTTCCATGTCACAAGCATGGTACAGTATGTCAGCTTCGTCTCATAAATTGTAAAGAACTTGTTTATTTATGATAACTTCCCTATAGTAAGCTAGCATCCTATATAGCTAGCATCACAGATAGTTTGGCGAATGTAATATATTGGTATGAACTGACAACAAACTCAATTCGCCTTTGGCTAAGCCACACCCTAGAATGTAGATTGACCAATCACAGCGCAGCCAAGAACGAGCTCCCGCAGAGGTCCGACACTTTTTCACAGCGCTCCATTGACTTTAACACAGGCGTCTCATATTTTTGGTCTCGGCAGGCTATTACCGTCGTAGTTTTATCAAAAATATGGTTAAACGTTGTGCCTGGGGCATTTGTAACACAGATACGCGTTTCCCAGAGAGGTTGGAGGGGGGTGTCCGTTTTTTCCCTTCCCAAAACCGAAGTCAAATCCTGACAAGTGTCGTCTTTGGATTAAACTGTGTGGACGTCCTCACAGTCAGCTACGTTAAACCCCTCAACAAGCTCACTTGTGTGCTCTAAAGTAAATGTTGCTTTTAACCTTAATGTGAAGTTATACTAGTTAGACAGTGTTACTGAAACCTTGGTTCATGCTTTCATCACATCACGGCTTGATTACTGCAATTCTCTTTTCTATGGCTTACCCAACTCATCTATAAATAAAATCCAATACATTCAGAACTCCGCAGCTAGGGTCCTTACATACACAAAGAAATCTTCCCACATTACTCCGATTTTACGCAGACTTCATTGGCTACCAGTACGTTTTCGTATTAACTACAAGATACTCCTTATCACATTCAAAGCACTCCATGGTCTTGCCCCCACCTATATCTCTGATCTCATCCATACCTACTCCCCAGTTCGCACACTTAGATCCTCCGATACCGGTCTTCTAACGATCCCACGGCACAAAATATCATCATTTGGTGGAAGGGCTTTTTGTACTGCTGCCCCAACTCTCTGGAATTCTATTCCCCAACACATCCGCGACCTTTCATCATTACACGATTTCAAAACTCACCTAAAAACGTATCTTTTTGCTACTTGTTTCCCTTGATTTCTATGTTTATGTACCACTATCTCAATTTATTTTTTGTTCTATGTCATGTTTCTGTCAGGTTTATTTGTACTTTATTGTAAAGCGACCTTGAGTACTCTGAAAGGCGCTATATAAAATAAACATATTATTATTATTATTATTATTATTATGCTGTTAGGTTATGATTTCGGTTCTCTAACGTTACCCTAATTAATGAAGAAAGGTGCTAGCAAGCAAGCTTAGCGATAGTTTAGTTATCACGTAACGTTAACGTAAGTCAGGATTGTATGTTTTGAGTAGCGGCTGGATGTTAGCTAACTTTGTTATTCAAGATACAAACACCTAACGTTAATGTTACAGACACGCTGTGGTAGTTTTGAAGGTGACTAACGTTACCGCCACCGTGTTGCCACAGTCCAACATTATTGTTAAAATTTCTTTTAAAAAATGACCAAATTTGAAAGGTGAGACTTTGTTTAATATGTTTAATATGAAAAGTAACCGAAAAGTAACCTGGTCTGTCAGCCTGTTGTCAGTCTCCTCTCTGCTCCGCGATGTATTTTTCACTGCTTGAGAACATGGTGTGTGCGTGAGAGCGGCGTAGCTTGACATAGCGACAGTAACTACCTTAGAAAGTAACTAAGGGGGGCGGGGCTTAGCCAAAGATGAATTTATTTTTTGAACAAGAAAGATTAATTCATTTCAGCTTGAAACAGTCCACTGTGGGCCTTTTCCCCACACGTTTCTATCAGCAACACAAAACTGCAGTGTCAGCATTATAATTATCTATACTAGCAATAGCACTAGCACTGATCCATGGCTAGGTGGATCTGTAATGATGATCCAGGTTTTAGATCTATCACCTGAGGAATACTTTGAACTCTGACAGCACGTGCACGGTTACTATGGAGCACTCGTGTGAGAAAGAGATGCTAATGTCTCTCTGCCCCTGGAGGGTTTCAGCTACATGTCCCATTGGAGGAAGGAATTTCCAGAGGCTTACAATAAACACACAAACACACACGACACGATTGCTGATCAGGTTATGTATAAATGTCTAAACCAATCAATTCAATCTACGTCTAGCTCAGTCATTGAAATGAGATCGACACTCAATTCCACAGGGAAATCTTACTGGGTCTATTCATATGATATTCAAACAGAAGGAAAAAATGATACACACCCACACTCAAACAGAAAACAATAGGGCTTATATTTCTGAGAAGCACTCTTCCAAAACGTGGTGGGCAGGTAAAGCTGTTTATGTGGAGCAATATAATATCTCTCAATCTCTACAATACTTCATTTTCCCAATGAGAAGGCATCAGTTAAAGGAATATAGGTTGCTTCAATACAAGGTGACATATAATTTTGAATACCACCAAATTTTGAAGTTATTATTGGACATACATTTAAACAGAAAAGGTGAGGGATTTTATTCACATTAAAATCATGTTAAAATTCATATTGTCTAAATCTTGTGGCTATACTATTAAAATCAGAGAGTATTTTAACGTTCACGGATTGGCTCCATTCACTTCCATTGTGCTAAATTCACTACATTTTCATTTAGTCACTCCAAGAATAAGGACATTAAACATAATATCTACTCTCCACAAACATTGATAACATTTTAGCTTGAAGGCTGAGCCACAATTTCATGATTCAAGATACATTCAGAAAGAGGGCAGGTTATTTTCCTCAACATACCTCAGAAAAGCGCTGGACATCCTGGGTCAAGGTTCCCACTCTGCTCCAGTTGTAAAAGTTGAGAAACTTCACCACAGCGGGGTTCACAGCATTGTCTGACGGGACTGTCCTGAAGAAATTTGGATACTTTTTCCTGTCTGCCAGGACGGGAGTTGTGGCTGCAAAAGAAAGCTGAAAAAGAAGAAGGCTGAGTTTAGCCAAAGTCTCATCAAGATAAATCTGTTCCTTCTTTTTCAGTGACAATTTTCTATGTAGGTGACAGTTATAACCTATAAGTACAGCTCTTATCTGCTTGAAAGACCAAAATCTATAAAACTAAAGACAAAGGTGTGCAACATCACAGGATATTGTGAAGTCTTATTAAAATGTAATAGCTTCTCGTTAAAGGGTTATTAATAGTTCACCCAAAAATGAACATTTTGTCATAATTAACTCAACCTCGAGTTGTTTCAAACCTGTAAGAAATTCTTTCTTCTGTTGAACACAAAAGAATGTATTTTGAAGGATGTCGGTATCCAATTGATATATTGATATATGGAAGTCAATGGGGTCCATCAACTGTTTGGTTACCCATATTCTTCAAAATATCTTCAAAATAAGAAAGAAATTCATAAAGGTTTGGAACAACTTGAGGGTGAGTAAATGATGACCGTTTTCATTTTGGGGTAACTATCCCTTTAAATGTCATACAGCACTGTGGCGTATTTGGACTGAGATTGTGTTGGACGAAGGCAAATGGCCGGCCCATAGCCAGTGTGCCAGGACTCCACATTGTAGGTGTGAATGAATCAACACAGTAACACGTCTCTATAAAAAGACAGCTCTCACACCTTTGGTGAGTGCCTGTGGTGCCTGGAGCCAGGAACGTTTGCACTGCTGATGGTCAAACTCAGCATATCAGCTTGCGGATGCAAGTGCGTATTAAGATGCATTATCGAGCATTACATTTTGTGTTTGCACTCCATAGGGTTCAACAATAAGAATTCGGGCCAGTAGTTCAGATTTTTACTTGCGCTGCCAACATTTACACCGACCCCAGCACAAAAATATTATATTAATATATAATATTACAGTACATATTTTATTTTGAGCAACATTTTAACAAAGTATCAGAAAAATATATTAATCATTTAAATAAAAAATGTTAACCTTAAAAATCTAAACAAATTTTTTTTAATCAAAAAATCATATTTACATTTGTAAATAGCTATACTTTGTTTTAATAATAGCTGGGACTTTTACAGCTATAATGTAACTCTGTGACAGTTCTAAACTTATTTTTCTGGGAAATGATGGCAGAAGGTGCAGAATGATATTGATTGTTATTGGTTATGATTTTTAACCCATTTTAACTGACGTTTCGCAGATAAACCAATTTCGACAAAATCCTTTTACCGAAGTATTCAAGGCATATTATCATGTACATGATCAGCAAATCATTGTAAGGTAAGAACATGCGAGCAAGTGAATGGCCTGAAACTCTCTCTTGCACTGCTTCATTGTTGATTTCCGCTCCATCTAGCTCTCCTCGGCCTCAATATTAATAAGATTCTTTTAAAACGCTTCTATACTGTTCAAGTATTGCGTGCTAAGCATGTTTAAATCTTTTGAGCTTTCAAAAAGGGGACAGTTTATAAAAGGCTTCACACGTTTGAAGACTTTTTTGCTCAAAACATGCCCTCTTTAATGTTGTCAAACACCAGGCAGAGCATTTTAAGCCTCAGCTGGAGCGAAAAAACAAGCCCAGAACGTCATGGTATGATTTTTGTGCCAGTGCTCCCGTCAGTAGATTAACAAATGTTCCTCCGGTTATAATACATCCTGAGGGTTGTTAGTCTCTCAGAGATAAACATATGGAAATGATTTGAGTTCAAATAGCAAAAGCCGTCTTATACTTGTTAAAGGAGCACACTCTTTGCTTACAGTCATAAAATGTCTGTCGGCTACGTGGCTGCACATTCAATTCGATTAAATTTTCAAGGCAAACCAGGCAACAAAATCTAAGCTGAATAGTGAAAGGAAATGTAATCATTTAAAAGCTAGATGTTGACGTTTTTTGAAAATGTATATGGATGGCTTGTTGAATTTGCAGGTGATTTAAGCAGCAATTTACACATAGTACTAACATAGTAAACTGCATTTCAATACCACAAGGAAGCACCTCAATATAAAAATGTGACAAGTTCTATTCAATTCTTGTCTACATCAGGGTTTTACCTGTAAATGAACTCGGAATAGGACGTTCCCTTGCTTGGGATTGGATCAACTAAATTACTTTTCCTGTGAATAGAATTGAGGGTGAAATGGAATTGACTTTTGCTCTGGAGTGTGCGGTGGCCGTGACCCTTGACCTCTGGCGAGCTGTGTGAACAGTGTCTCATCTCCTCTCATTTGTGGCCCCTCTGGTGAATGAAGTGGTGACGTTATCACATGAACACTGTGCTGAAGGGAACATGGTCTGAATACAGCATGTTAGGTTTACTTTCTTATACAAGGAAGAGATTCAGGCTCTGTTCCAGTCAAGTCAAAATTATTTGAATAGCGCTCTTCACAATACACATTGTTTCAAAGCAATTCTACAGAACATCATGATGCATCGTCATGCATTTAGAAGATTACAGCTAGTTCACATTTTACGATAAACAATAAAGCAGTTGAGATTTGCTAGATAGTATTGCCCTACGCAAGTATAATGTATTTATGTGGATAAAGTTACATACTTATATATCTGTGTTTATATATACAGCTGGGCGATAATATAGTTAAATTTATATGAGCTGCCTTGATGTCTTCTACATAGTCAGCACCCTAACCATCATGAAACCTTACAAGTGACCATTTTGCCTTAATCTCTTGATTTGCTTGATGTCATAAACACTTATCAATGTTTAAAGAGATAGTGCATTCATCATGCAATCAAATATACCTTTTTATCTTCCAAAGAAAGAAAGTTTGGAACGACATGAGGGTGAGTATGATGACCGGATTTTCATTTTTAGGTGAACTGTGTTTCCACTGAACACAAGGGGATTCGGCAGACACTCATTTCGCCTTAAAGTGAACGTATTTGACACATTTTCACAGTTGAACCTCCTTACGGATACAAGCTGAATTTGTCATGCAGTGAAGAAAAAAAACTGCCTCTTAATTCTTTCTCTCATCTCACAATAGTGCGCTGGTGTGTACACACCCTGACAGCCAGGGAACTCGTGAATAACAGTCTAACATTTCAATGAATTCCATTAAACCCCGTTAGAAACATTTAGATCTGTGACTATTTAGACAAGGGAACAGACAGATTTGGGTAGGATTTATTTACAATGTTATATTATATGGGAAATGTGTGAACTCAAGCTATAGCTGACAGCAGACATCAGTGCTGACATAATCACACCACCTGCTCTGCATTTCAAGAGGTAGGAGGGTGAGCAGAACATCCATTTTTCTTTTTAATATGGGTATGAGCAAATAAAAGGGGATTGTGATGGATTGAAGTAATCTAATATAATGATTTTGTGTCCTCTAAGAGAGTTATTGATGTTAATCAAGGTAGGGTTAATTGCAGTGCTGAAAAGATAAGACATTACGATTACGATAATGACACAGGTTAGTAGTCTGTGGTTCTCTTAGAAGACAAGTGTGCATTAATTCACAGATAGACACTATCTAGATTGGTCTGGTTTTGGCCTTTTCAGACCTGCCTAAAAAAAGCCATTTCCTAACTGACAATCTTGAAAGAAGAAGCCAATCTCAGGACAGTGATGTCACGCCTGTTGAACGTGTCAAAGCCAGTACATTCAATTAAAAGCACTTAAAGGGACAGTTACCTGAAAATGACATTTCTGTTACCATTTAATCACCCTGATGTTATTTCTTTCATCTGAGGAACACAAAAGATATTTTGAAAAAATGTCTGAATGTTTTTGCTGTTGTTTTTTGTCTGTACAATACAAATTAATGGTTTGCAATGTTGTTTTTGGGCCTCATTGACAATTGACAATTTCTTCAAAATACCTTATTCGGTGTTCCACAAGAAGAAGAAAAAACTGTCCTTTTAGACCTTAGACAGCCCAAGTTCCTATTTGCATTCATCATATGAAAATGAACTTGGTCATTCTGCTAAATTACTTTTGTGTAACACAGAAGTTTAATTTTGGGGTGAACTGTCCCTTTAAAAGCCATTTAAAAAACTGGGCTACATTGGGGTACACTGAAAGATCATGTCACACTGAAAAGTGGAGTAATGATGCTGAAAATTCAGCTTTGCCATCACAGGAATAAATTTCATTTTAAAATATATTCAAATTAAAACAAATTATTTTTTACAATATTGATCACATATATAAGTATTTTTGATCAAATGAATGTAGCCTTAGAGAGCATAAGAGACTTTAAAAACAAAAACAAAAACAAATCTTACATACCCCAAAATTTGAACGCCAGTTTTGGTTTTCACTAATGATTGTGTGTAAAATCTGTGATAAAATGTGATTTATCCAATTTTTTGACAATGAAAAACCATTCAAATGAAAGCCTGTGCTCTATACATCTCTATGCACTGCTTAACCCAAAGTGAACAAAATGTGAATTCGAATGTACTGCTTCAAACAAAAAGATCAACCCTCTCTTCACAAATGAGAGATCAAAGAGTTGACTATCTAACAAACCTAAGAAGCAATTTGTTCTTGTGCAACATATTAGCAGATTTACAGCCTCTATCAGAGTTTAATCCTGCTTTCACATCAATGGCCAACTCCAGAATAAGAGTCGTGCCACATCACCCCGTCACTCATCTCAGCTCAATGAAGTGCTTGTTGTTCAAAACACACAGATTAGTGCTGCCAATTAAGGATTTTTATCATGCTAGTGCCACTAAATCCAGATGCACCTACGGGACTCACTGAGCATTAAGGGGTCTCTTGGAGGTTGCTCTAATCTTTGTTTAGTGGAGACTAGCCTACATGCTCAATGCTTCATTCTCACAAGGGAAAAGTCAGAGCATAATGCACTCACATACAACCATGTTCTCTCCACTGAAAAATAAAAACAGATGAGAGTTTTCCATTGTATTTTGCTTTTAAAATCTCTTTTAAGATAATAAATAAACCTAAAATCTTCATATTCGAAAGAAACTGATGAGTCTCAGGAAAATATTGTCCCCAAATGGTGTA